AGATGTCAAGAGTCCTTTGCAAGTTCACAAAGTGGCACGTGGCAGGGCTGCTTTGAATGAAATGGCTGATCTAACGGTGGCAGCTGTCGCTGTTTACAGAGTGCCCTTTTGCCTGCATTCCTAAGTGTTGTATGGCTCCAACTCAGAACACTGAGCTCTGTTCGCCCCATCCTGAACCTTCCATGGCACCAACAGGGTAATTAGCACCTGGTTAGCCAGCGTGCTGGACTCTTGGCCTGAGGAGGAAATAGCTCCACTAACTTGGTCATCAGAACAGAGCTGAGAATTCTAGGGCACTAACGAGGAATATGGGAGCTCTGGTAGCATAGTGCCTAAGGCACTTGACTGCTAACCAGAAGGCTGGCGGTTCAAACCCACCAGCCACTCCTCGGAAGGAAGGTTGGGCAATCCTACTTCCGTAGTGATACTGCCTCGGAAACCCAAGGAGGGGTCGCTATGAGTCGGGGCCGACTCGACGGCACATCACAACAACAAGGAGGAATATGGAATTTGACTTCTATAGTGCCTAAGGCACTTGACTTCTAACCAGAAGGCTGGCAGTTCAAACCCACCAGCCACTCCTCGGAAGGGAGGTTGGGCCATCTACTTCCACAGAGATACCGCCTCGGAAACCCAAGGAGGGGTCACTGTGAGTTGAGGAATATTCAGCCAAGAACGAAGCTTTGGACTAGGGCAGAGATGGGTGGGCGTCCCAGCCCAGCCACTTACTGCCTGTGACTTCGGGCAAGCCGTTTCACTCTCGATCCTTCTGTTTCCAAGTCTGTAAAATGGGGGTTAGTTTATTTCTGCAAGGGTGCGGAAGTGGTTGTGATGAATTAAATAAGAATCCTCTCAATAAACAGCCTTCGTGTCCTCATCCTCCTCCAAGTGGAAGTGCCGCCTAGTGGCAGACACACGTCCTGCATGTTTTTGAGTGTGATGCTCGCTTCTGACGGACTGTGTGCACTCAGCAGGGTTTCTAGTTTTTGGACACCTCCCTGCCAGCCCTGCCTTGCCTGGATGACTGAACGTCTCCTCATTGGTCTCCTGTTGCTGGTCTACCTCTTTCTACCCTACCTACTGAAAAGACAACTGACTTCTCACCAGCCTAAACCCTTCCCTACTGCTCAGGAGAGCTCTGGAGAAACCGGGCTTCCTCCTGGAACAGCACAAGAGACTGCCAGCACCTCTGCTGCTGGTTAGAACTTGGGGTGTGCCACCTTCAGAACTGCATATGGACCTGCACGCTGTCCCTGGCTTGGGCACCATATTCTCAGCCAAGAAACTGAAGTTCACAGGGAAAGTCAAACACCAGCCAGTTGGGGTCAGAACACAGATCAGGGTATGGTTTCCGAGGAACACCCTACCACAGGTAAGGGCGGTGCTATAATTCACACACACATACCCCAAACCCCAGTGGCCTGGTGCCAGGTCTCCTTACTCAGACACCCAGTAACTGAAGGGGTGGTTTTTCTTTATGTCCTCTCTAACACCTCTGGGACAAGTTATAAAATATCCACTTGGTCAAAGAGTATGAACTTGACCTAATTGGCTCTGGGAAGAACTTCCACACTTGCTGTAATCTGGGTGGTTTTCCTGCAGAGCAACTGCTTGGTTGAAGATTAGTAACTGCTAGTAACTCTAGACTCCCTTTTCAAACTGTCAACACAGCGGTATCCTCAGCTCACTAAAGCTGCTGTCAACCCAGTGACAGGACAACAGTGAAGGTCAGGGTGTAAGGGGAGAACCATCTCGTGACTGCGCTGCCTTTGGTGGAAGCAAACTACAGCCTCACAGAACTGTGAGGTGTGGAAACACTGCCTGCCGCAAAGGTGAACTGTGATCACCCGTGACTATCTGCGTGTCTACCAGGCAGGGGAGCTGAGGGCAGGGGTGGGGGTGGAGGGCAAGGTGTGAGACAGCTCACAGCAGTTCCAGATGAGGTCTCTCTGTCCTTCGGGGTCTAGATCCCTGTAGCTGGGCTAAAAAGCCAGAGCACAAAGTTGACGAGTGACATACACTTTCTAGGCTACTTCTTCACCTACTTGTTGGGAAACCTTGGGCCAGTCCTTGAGCATCTCCTCGGAAGGAAAGTTGCCTCACTTTCTCCATCTCTACAATGAACAATGGTTCCCATCTTTGATTTTTAAAGCAGCAGAACTGTAACTTCAAACGAAATCATGGTACGTCAGCATCATCACACGCGCATAGGCACACGCTCTGGGTGGAGGCCGGATACGGGTACGGGAGACACTGACGGACGCCGCAGGGCCCAGTCAGGACCGTCATCTAGTTCCCACAGCATCCACCCAGCCTAGACGTTTCATAACTCAGATACTCGCTACAAAGGCTGGAAGCAAACCCACTTAGTAAAGTGTTTTCAGACGGGAGACAACTCTACCAACGGTCTGCTCTGTGACCTCATCACCAAAGTTGACCTGAGAATTTTCTAACAGTCTTTGGCCAAGGAGTAGGTGAACCGCAGGCTCTCTCAGGGGTGCCGATTCACGCCAAAGCCTTCCATAGAACTCGATTTCAAAAGAAAAATGCCAGAAATGAAACCTGGCTCGATAATTCCCTATACATCCTCACTGGCCACGAGTGGGTCAAGCTGGTATTTTACAAAGTAAATTTGGAAGAAAGTGAGCTTTAAGGTCCTCTAGGATAGGGTCCCAAATGACTTCTGCTGTCTCACCCCCATTCCTCTACTATTTCTCAGCCTTTAATCCAACGTGCAGGAGCTCTGGTAGCATAGTGCCTAAGGTACCTGACTGCTAACCAGAAGGCTGGCGGTTCAAACCCATCAGCCACTCCTGGGAAGGAAGATGGGGCAATCTACTTCTGTAGTGATCCTGCCTCGGAAACCCAAGGAGGGGTCGCTGAGTCGGGTCCGATTCAATGGCACATAACAACAATCAAACGTGCCACCTGATGTGATGTGCCTCTGCTTACCATGCCCCACGCCTGCCTGCACCTGTTTCCAGCTTGTTGTTATTTGCCATTGAGTCGCCCCGACTCATAGCGACCCCTCCTTGGGTTTCCGAGGCAGTATCACTATGGAAGTAGGATTGCCCAACCTTCCTTCCGAGGAGTGGCTGGTGGGGTTGAACCGCCAGCCTTCTGGTTAGCAGTCAAGTGCCTTAGGCACTATGCTACCAGAGCTCCTCATTTCCAGCTTAGTGGTCTCCTTTCTAGGAAACCGGCCCAGCCTCCTACCTGGAGGCCACCCCTTCAGCCTCCGAACTGCCCTGCTGCTCATCTGGACCCTAGCACATGTCACTCACATGTCTACGTCTCCTCCACTCACCTAGGTCCTGTGAGCACCCCATGGGCTGGGTGGCTCTGTGTCCTAGTCTCCCTCTCCCCGTCTGGCCAAGTGCCGCAAATTTGGAAAAGCAGGGACTGTAACCATGTGAAGTTACTGCTGGGAGACACAGGTGCAAATCTGAAGGGATCCTAGAGACCACCGAAGTATTTATTAGTGAAGGCTGCCCCATGGCAGGCAAGGCCTTGGTCAGGGAGAAGCAAGTAATGCCATTAATGAGACATCAAACTTGATTTCCTTTGCAAAGCAAATGCCACTTTAAAGCCGTGGGAGAATTTTTAAGTGTATGTCTGGGGGCTCCATTGAGATGATGCGACTTTTCCTCGCTATGAACTCAGAACCTCCACCCTTACTTTAATATGGTTTTTATATGCCGAGTTTGCCACTCACTCCAGCAGCCAGAACCAAGATGTTCTAAAATAATCCCCAAACTTTCAACTAACAGAAATGCGTACTATCGACAATACCCTCACATATCTGTTTCCGTTAAATGGTTAAGCCATTAAACACATAGCTAGTGGAGGACCCTCCCCTCCCCCAAATCCCTTCACGGTCCATGAGAAAAAACAGTCTCTGGAAAGGCTGAGCTGATCCCAGGCAGGACCCACCCACTCGGAGCAAGGCTTTTCACATCACTCCTCCTTAGCCCGCCTATCTTGGTAACAAACCAGACTCTGTTCCCTGTCTGTCAAGCCCTAAATGGTTCAGCTGTGGTCCAAGCTCATTCTCCTCCTCAGACCTGTCAGCAAAGGGTCACAGGCCATCCGTGCTGCAGGAGACTTCAGAACCCACTGGCCACACCTCCTCAATTTCACAGACCAGGGGGCAACGCAGAGGTCAACACAAGGTCACACAGGCAGTCCGTGGCAGGGCCTGGACTAGAATTCAGGTCTCCTGAAATTCTGCGTTCACCCTTTTCCTTAATCCATCTATTATGTGAGACTGACGGCAGCATACTAGCTTTTGGGGCTTTATGTTTCAAACATCAGTTTTTAAAGTCAGCCTCATTTACTGCCAGTTGTCAGGAATGGGCGTTAGACCTAAACGCTGCAGGGCACTACGTTTCCCTTCGACCACCACCAACAGAAAAATGCCAGCACCAGCTGTGTCTTAGCTTACAGCTAAGAGTCTAATTTAAAAATGTAAGCGTACAACTAGGCTTTACCAAACAGTAACGTGTTTATTTCACTTAAATTCTTAAAAATACTTTTTTTGGCAGTTGTCACATATAATGTCCTAATGTAAAAAAAAAAATCCATTTAAGAAAAAAAAAGGAAGCAAAGAAAAGCATGAAAAACAGACCCAAAATGTTAAGATTTTATTTACAAAGCTTCTTTGTTGTCCAGAAAGTAAAAATGCTCTTACAACCTCCGTGTAACTGGGAGCCACAAGAGGCAAGACTCTCACCGACCACAGCCATTGGCCACGGCGGGTCTCACCTGGAAACCTAACAACGCTTACAACTGTGTGAGGGGAGGCCCCAAGCTTGGTGGTGGATTTCCAAGAGGGACTAAGAAGAGGAAGGTGGAATGTCACAGGAACTATTCTTTGGCTCTTTGGGTGGGTGGGTGTCCTGGGGTGTGTATCACAGCTACTTTTTGTTTCAAACAGCTACCAGATCCATGTAAGCAGTCCGACCAACACTGAGCAGTTCTGTCTGCAGGTTGTCTGGGGCCTAATCATCTTCTCCTTCATCGTCTGTGTCCCGCTTCCTCTTCTCGCCTTTCCCGCTCTCTTCTTCCTCTGCACGACAACAAACAGTCATTTGAGACCAGCTGCAAGGGCACTTCCCAGTTAGCGCTACCGCCCAGGAATTATCCTGCTCGGGGAGATGAGGAAGACGTAGGCCTCATCAGCTCACCAGGCTGCTGGGGGAGAGGGATGAACCGAGACGGGCACGTGGTGTCCATGGAGGAAGGAGGACGGGCACGTGGTGTCCACGGAGGAAGGAGGACGGAGCGGACAGTAGCACGGACCCACGGCAACGCTAACCCACCCCTCAACTTTAAATGGTTCTCCCTCAAACTTCTCTTGCCACTTAACCTCTACAAGTCTGTTTCCTCATTTGTAAAATGGGACAATTCTGGGGTAATTCTGAGGATTAAATGAGAAAATAGCCAAACATTTAGACTCAAATCGTAGTACCCTCTCTTAGGCTACTTTGAAGGCAGGGACACAGTGCCTGATCCCTGCCATATCCAGTGCCTGGCAAGGGCTGAGAGAAAGTGTGGACCAGAAAGAAAGCACAGCAAAGCAGCTGGTGCTCGGACCGAAATAAGCAAGAGCCCGTACTCCTAGCAAGTATTCAATAAATAACAGATAGATGCTTCACCCGTCTTGGCTGTGACGGACGAAGGATAAACACCGACCAAAGTGGAAAGGTGCCACTCGCACATCCTATAAAGACAGACAGGCACTACGGGTCCCTCAACAGCAGCTGGGGCCACAGCAGCACGGAGGCAGTGATGGGGCCACACAGGCGGAAGCCCAGACCACCGGGACCAGGGGCCTTTTACTTTCTTCTAGTAGGTTCAATTCTAAATTAATGGATCTCCTCACTTCATTTTTAACCGAGGAGAAGCAAGGTGTATGCTTCTAGACCTACCTTCATCTTCATCCTCATCCTCATCCTCTTCATCTTCATCAACTTCCCCATCATGGCCAAATTCCTCTTCCTAAAAAAACGGTGAACAGCATCAAATTATTTCTGTCAACTTGAAAAGTACTAAGCGAAATATACTTTGCCAATAAAGATGTATTATTTTTATCTACTCTGATATATTGTGAGATCTGCATGTTTTCCTTGATGAACTTAATTTAAAATTTTTTTTTCTTAAAAACCACTTTTCAAAGGTAAGTATTTGCCATGTTTAATTAGCATACAACTTAAAATGGGTAATTTTTAAATGATTTAAAAACCTCAAGTTTCAAAGCAGGTTTGGACAAAGGTGTCCCCACTCCCGTTCTCATGTCAAGCAACTTCCAGGCTCTTACTCTCACTCTCCACTATGACATTAAACAAACGCTAAGCTCCGGTACTTCCGTACAATTGAAGAATTTGCCTTTGGAGGATATCTGATTTCCTTGGCTCCATTTCTGCACACCTCCTTGAGAGTCCTGTCCTCTACGGCACCTTGTTCCGTGAGGATGCTGTATTACCAGGGGTCTCGTTAATTCAATTCTCCGCTCTTTCAGGGCAAGACCATGTTCTAACTTACCTTGGCATCCCCAATACTTTACACAGAGCAGGTAAACGACGTTTTTACTGAACCAAGCTGAACACGAGAGAACAAGTTCAAACTCAGTAAACTATCAGTACGCAGGAAGACCACCAAAGTAACACTGCCAGGACTTCCACCCTACTGAACACTCAATTCGACTTCTTCCCAAAGTTAAAGGGTCAGTGCCTGCAAGCCAAGCACTGTGTTGATCAGCACTCGTAGGCATTCCAGTCAGTATTTACTACAAGGGGGGGAGAAGTGAAATGAATCAGACCCACACGCTCAATCCACTCACAAGCATATAATTTCTCCAGAAGCCCTTCCTCTGTGTAAAAGGGTGCACTTTTACTTTCATCACAAACAGGAATGAGGGCAGCAAGAGTCGCACTGACCTCACCACTGACTTCATCTTCATCTTCTTCCCCCTCTACGTCTTCGTCTTCATCTTCATCCTCTTCTTCATCAAAGTCTTCCTCCTCACCATCCTCCTCTTCCTCCTCCTCCTCCTCTCCTTCTGAAAACAGTCCAAAAGGGAACTCCTTCAATACCCCTGGTGTTCCCCGGGACACATCTGCCAAGGTGTTAGAGCCGCGGGTTGGCCCAGGACAAGCACTGGCCGAGCTCCAGCCAGGGGAGCCCACAGCCCGTCGTCATTCTCTTTCCGTAAGGCTGCTGCAGCCAAGCCCCTCCACCCAACGGGGTTCCCTGAAATCAGGAGGCCTGGTCTTACTGACGAAACCATGCAATGTCCGGGATTTGCTTCAAAGTAACACAGGAAGTGGGCAAGGGTATGTATGTATAAGACAAGATCAGCCATGAACCAGTAACTATTAAAGCTGGGTGTGGGAGCATGGCAGCTCATTTTATTATTACTTCTATCTTTGTGTCTAGGATGTTCCGTAACAAAAAGCTGGGGGTGGGGGAGGGGTCACGTGTCCTCTCTTGGGTCATGGTACCACAGAGCCAGTGCCTGGATTGGGAGCCTAAGAGGCACCTGCTCCTCACCTGGGTCTCTACTCCGTCTGGTGCAGACCTTACTCTCCTGGGTCCTAGAGCCTGCCTTCACTCCCTCCTGCCTCCAGCTCTGCCCAAGTGTCCCTTTCCCGTCTGCTTGGCTAACTCCGAGTCAAGCTGAGTCTCAGGTAAGCATCTTGTCCTCAGGCAGTCTTCCCAGACCCCTCCAATCGGGTTCCACATTCTCCCAGCACCTGCTGTGTCTCCAGTACAGCACACTCTGCCCACCTGTCATTCCTTACTTAGGATTATTTCACATTTAGGAGGCAGTAAGCTTCAAGGGCACAGGAACATGCCGGGTTTCTTCCCCAATCACTATTCTGCACAGTGCCTGGCACGGAAGAAATGTGTGAACGCCTGCAGCCCCATTTCTTTCTTTCTAGAGTTGGCCTCCACCCTCCGAGGAATTCCCTTTACAGGTTCCCCCCTACATATCGTCATTCAAGCCGTTTAGGGAGAAAAGAGGAAATAGGAGGGACAAAGGGTCTGTAGGAAAAACCCAAGACCCTGCAGCACAGGGAGTGAATGACAGGAACATCGGAACAAGGTGGTGCCCCTCGCTGCCCTTTTTACCACCTTTCCTCCCCCTTTGTTGCCTTGTTTCAACAACCCGCTGACGGGAGAGAAAAGAGTAAAAAGAGTAAACTTGCTGCTAGAGTACCAGGCCATTGATTCCACCCAAGCTGTCCCGGGTACATCTGGTCCGCCCCTGCCCCCACCCCATACTCTTGACTGTTTCTGTCTCGTGTGCTTCTCAAAATATGCTTAAATGTACCAACACCACACACTTCAGCACCACCAGGGATTCTGGGAGAAGCAGTTCTCTCACGGTGACCAAGGAGGAAGCTGTCGCACTGTTTCCTCTGAGCTGCTTGAGGGGAGGGACTTTACCCCGAGAGTGACTTGGAGGGAACAAGTCCACGTGCAGGGACACAGGCTAATCAGGAGAGGCTTATTCCGGCAAAAACCAGAGAACGATTCTCAAAGATAAACGGAGCGTACGACACCCTCATCAAACACAAAAATGGTACTTGAACTTCACGTTAAGGCCAGATACTCCCCATTAGATGTGGCTGCTGCGAGGGGCTGTCAAGTCGGCCCCGACTCACAGCGACCCTACGTACAACAGAACCAGGCAGTGCCTAGTCCGTGTCCTCCTCCCCATTGTTGCCATATTGAGCAAACAGGCACAGCCACTCCCAACATACAGCAGCTTGAAACCATGACTGTCCAGCCTCTCTGACCAGGAAACGCAGAAAAACGGCCCCCTTCATGTTTGGATACAATAAACATGTGCTGAGAACACGTGCTGGTGCCTCCTCAGTGCCATGTCCCATGAAGAGAGACAAAGACAGTCTCTACCCAAGAAGGTACCAGACCATGGTAGGGAAGCGGCAACGGAAGGGAGGGCCTCCTTCACACTGCACCCCCACCTCGTCTGCAGGCACCAGGAAATGCTTCGTGGAAGAAGGGCTGACAAACCTGAATGTGTGATGATAAGGAGGCAGTGACTGAGGGGCATAGCCAGGAGAAAGACACGAGAGCTGTGACCCCCAGGTTCCAAATTCCAAAGACTAATGAACAAGCCATTTTCATTTTGAATCACTGTAAGGCTTCACATCCCAAGAGCAAGCAGAGGTTCTAGCTCCACATCGAATGGGATGCCCACACAACATGCATGGAAGTTACTCGTCTCCATGGCAACAACATACGGTAGCTTTATGGGGACCTGCAAAAGGCAGAAATCCAGGGCACTGGATGTTCAGCCCGCTCACCTTCATCTTCCTCGTCTTCGTCCACACCGTCCACCTCAGCATCTGAATCAGGGGCTTCTCGGTCCTCTCGGTCATAGCCGTCCAGGTAGGTCAGCTGGGGCAGGAGCTTGAAGACGCTCTCTCGGTAATCATTCAAGTTGGTGACCTCACAGTTAAACAGGTCCAGACTTTTCAGACACTCCAATTTTTTCTGAAGAAAAGGATCAAAAAACACAACTCCTAAATTGAAGGAACCAAGCCACAAAGCCCATCTTCTGAAGAGGTAAAATTCTAAGCCTGGTTCTCAATGAGGACCACCCACTCTGTCTTGCAACAGGAAACATCCCAAGCCTTCACAACCTTCTCAAGCACCAGATCGTAATCAGCCCCTCCCTTCCTACAGCTATCTGCCCAGAGACCTATGTCTGTTTTTCCAGTAGCCTAAAGAAGTATGCATTTTCCAGTATAGTGGTTTTTATTAAAACCCCATCTTTTCAGAGCATGAGACAAGACAAACCAAACAGCTAACTTAATGTCTGTTTCCAAACTATGTTTTAAAATTCGAGTCATCAATAGCCAACGATAACTCCCTGGGTGTCTAGCGCAGTCCCCCATCCTCTGGGGCGGCAGCATGTGGAGAAATTCACGGAGCTCTGAAGCACAACCGTTAACTCAAGTGCTTACCTTTCTACTTGGGGATCGAAGACAGAAACACTAGAGGACAGAACGTTAGAAAGCCTAGAGGGTGGGATGGAGGACTTCCTGGAACACAGGAGGCTGGGGAAACAGAGACTCAACAGAGCCGAAACTTAAGAAGGAGAAAACATCACACCCTCTTCATCTTGGAGAAAAGTACCAAAGATTGGTACCTTTTTACTAGACTTTTCTGCTGTAAGATTCTTCTCATTTTACCACACTTTGTCGCACTACTTCATTTGTTTGAACTCCATTTCATCTATCTAAGAAGGTTAAGATCTTGGCCCAAGCAAAGTTCTGAGTAGCCAAAGTGAGTAACAACATGTCCACGTACCACTCAACGCCCATGTGTTAAGACTCCCGTGTACCAGCCCTTTCAAGCCCACGTCTATCACAAAGTCTGCTCAAGGGCAAGTTAGGAGACTGGGAGGTGAGGGAGGCCCCAGCAACAGGGAGCCTCGTGGCAGCACCGGGGGAGCCTCACGAGAGGAGGGATGACATCGTCTGTGCCTTTCAGAACAAGGCAGCGAGCCTAGAGGGCACGCAACTATGTGCGTTTATAAATGGGACTTCCGTGATGGCTCTGAAGAGAAAAGGCCTGGTATTCTCTGAGACTGGAAAAGTTTAAAAAAAAAAAAAAATTATGCCTAAAGATTCTGATGCTTCGTGTGGAAAGGTGAACTTCCCAGAATAACTGATTTTGCTGAATTTATTTCTACATTCACAATGGCCTGGGAAGAAATGCAGATAAAAATTCTGTCTTCGGCTGGGTTGGCAAACGCCATCTGTGAGCCGATGCTGGCCTGTCACCCGCTGTTGTAAAACCCATCTTTACTGGAGCCCAGTGACCGAGGCTGGGTGGCCCACGAAGCCGCAAATACCTGCTCTGCGGCCTTCAGAGAAAAGGTCACTGGGCCTGCTCTCACAGACCTCCCACCTTCCCGACCCAGGAAGAGACTCTCACGCTGTTTCCCTCTCACGGAGCAGCCCAAGAGCCAGGCAGGGGACGCGAAGCAGGCAAAGGCTGTGCCTGCGAAGTAGACACACAGCAACCCCAGAGTCTGTGGGTCAAGCTGCGCTTCTGTTAGTTGGTCCCCGAGTCCTCAAGAAAGCTGCCCCTAAGCTCTCTGACCGGAGGGAGAGCGGTTTCTGCAGCATTCACTGTCAGAGGAGCTTTCCTACTGGGCAGGCCCAGGCCTCAGCTCCAGAAGCCCAGGATGACTTCTCACCAAAGAGGGAAAAAGGGTTGAGAGCACCCCAGACAACTGGCTAGCACAAAGCCTAACTCTGTACCTGCGAAAACACAACCGCAAGCCAATCCAGGCGGTTTTCCCAAAGAGGCTCAACCTGAAAACTCTTCAGTCAGAGGGATGAACCATTGCTAGTCAAATGACTCCCGGGGTATGGGGCTGCGCCCACAGCCTCTGGTACGTCTAACACTTCAGAGCGCCAAGCACCTCTCCACGGTTAGTAACTCTTGCGGTAATCAAGGTGTCTGAGGCATTCCTGCTTCTGAAACTGCAGGAATCTATGAGATTTTGGCTACTTCCTGTCAAAGGACCCATTATCAAAAATTGGGACATGCCAAACAGCATGCCAGAAAACAAAGCAAAATAAACATAACCAAAATAAAACCTTCCACATAACCGCAGTATACTTTGAATTGTTTAAAGTGGTGAATTGGGCTTTGCGGCCCAACAGGCACAGAATACACCACACACAGATTAGTCAGAGGATCCCATGTACCTGTTAACACTGTTTCAAAAGATCACAACTCCATCACATCAGAAATGTGGCCTACAACTAACAGGCTAGCCATAATAAACAGTAAACATTTTATTAACAATAATTTTGCTTGCCTTCTTAGAATTTAGAAGGGCTTTGGGGGATGGTTTGGATGGCCCAGGTCTCTTAAAAAAGGTCTCCAAGGAAGTCTGAACTGATGCCTTCTTTGTCTCTCGATTAAAGTCCCTGTAGCAAGCAGAGGCATTCATAAAGTGACTTTACGAGCTGGGCTCAAAGCAGATGGTGTTCAGAATGCATGTGGTTAATGAGGATGAGGATGGTGGTTCCCCCGCTGAAGAACACTTCCAGACGCCCTAATGAACCCAACCTCTCCCCCGTCACCTCCTAGTCTGATCTGTATTGCAAGTCAGAACTTCGGGAGACAACCTAGGACCTCGTGCCCCCGCGAACTGGAACAGTAAGAGCAGCACAACGGGAAGCATGCAGGCCTTTTCTGGTGAGGCCTGGGCATGCGGCGCTGTGACTCTGGCACTGCCAGCTACGTGTGTGACTCTGGACAAGGGACCAGCCTCCCCTGAACCTCAGCTTCCACACCTGTGAAACGAGGACCATGCTCTTCCCACCCACTTGGTGTAAATGTCTGGAGAACGACTGAGAACACAGTCCCTGGTGCATAGGAGGGTCCCTAAGTGTTCAATCCAATGGTGTCCATTTCTCATTGTAACTGCCTGGGGGCTGGGACTGTCACAGCCACCAAGAGTCCCTCGTCCAGTGCTGCCCAGGTCAGGAACACCCAAGCCGGTAACTGTCACACAGTCTTTGGTCTGCTCTGCCCTGTGTGTCAGGACACCGACAAAGGCTTCCGAACCATCATCACAGGGGAGGCAGGTGGCCAGAATTAGGCAACAGTCAGAGATCTGGGAGGGACATCACTACCCAGGACGCTGTTCTAGCAAACAGGAGTTCCTACGCTCACAGTGACCCAGAAGTAATAGGCTTGTCATTGGCAAATAAGTAACAGTGTAGCCTCACAGACCAGAAGAGGAGTCAGCACTCAATTTAGTGCTACTGTTGGAATCCCCAGGGCAATACAGGGATGGAATACGTTCAAAGAAAGAGAACAGGTCCCAAGGGCAGCAAAAAACCATGAACTTGGATTTGAATTCTCACCCGGCCATCTACCCTGTGATCTGTGAGCATTATTTAAGCTCTAACTCAGTCTGCCCGTCTCTGAAACAAGGACAGTACCTCTCACCCGAGTTATGTGAAGATTCAGTGGGCCAGTGTTAGCGTCACTGAACAGAGCCAACGTCAACAACGTCTGTTTAAACCCTGGACGTGAGTGCTGGTTTGGAGAAAAAGGAGGTTACTATGAAGACGAGGAGCCCGCACGTCAGGGTGCCCCTGTAACGGGGGAAGAAAGAAAGAAAGGCACATTTCTGGAATGAGGGTAAGTGACAGGCTCCCAACGTTCATTGAGAAATGTGGGCTCCTAACTATAGGCCGCTCCGTAACATCTCCACAGGAGCAATAGGGTTAAGTGCCGGTTGGCGGGAAAGACCCCATGACAAGAAGCCACGGGTGACCCATTTCTCCCCTTAAATATCAACAAAGCACCCTATGGAAGTGGCCTGACATCCACACCTCTTCACACCCAGTGACAGCAGGAGGGAGACAGCAAAGGACAGGGCTCCCGGTTCTGTGCCTCTGGGTCCCGAAAGACAGCTCCTCTCCTGTGCGTAATCCTCCCCTAATCGATGTCTGCAACTCAGTCCAATCAAAACACAGCCTTCCTGTAACTCAGCACAAACGGAAACCCTGAAGCAGAGCATCCAGTCGTCCTTCTGCGGAGCAGCTGGTGGGTTTGAACCACCGACCTTCCGGTTAGCAGTCAAGTGCTAAAGACAGGGGAGCCACCCGAGCCCCTAGCACAACTCAGCAGAGTGCCCAAAGCCACAGGCTTCTCTGCAGAGCCCAGCACACGTTTCCTTCCCATTGGCCTCATTCAACAGCATCCCACTTCTGTGCCAAATCCCAGAGGGTCCTATTTAGGAAAATCGGCCACTTAACGATCTTGAATCCACAGCGCCTCCAGGTGGCAGCCAAACTGCACAGCCTGTCGGGCTGTCTGACTCAGCACTACTCTCGGTCCTGAGCATTGCCTTTGGAAGCCCCCTCTGGCCGCTACAACTTCTCCATGGACCAGACTCACATCTGCAGTTTCCTAACCACAAACTGCTGCGCACATCACCTCCTTTCATTCTTAGAACCCCTATGTGACATAAGGAAACAGGAGTACCCTCCCTGCTTCAGAACGAGGAAACTGAGGCCCAGAGAGCAGCAGCAACTTGCCCAGGTCACACAGGAAGGCTACAATCCAAATGAGACTTCAGGTCAGGTTAGTCCCTAGTTTATCCCAATACGTAAGGCTGAGGGGATTCTGGGGGGGTTCAGGGCAATTTGAGGTGACCAGCTAGAGCCCAAGATTGTGAGTGAGAAGACCTGACGCTTATGGGCATTGTCGTGGGCCTGTCCCATCCCTGATGAGATACATACCAAAGACAAGGCTTTTACTGCAGAAGTATAGAATGGCTTAGTCAGTCTGGGGAAAATTTAAGTAAAAATGTCAGAATTTAAGTCAGAATATGAACTGAAAAAGGCCACCTACGCAAAAAAAAAGTGTCCCCACTGCAGGAAGCCACTGTAAAGTCAGGCAGGGAGAGCAAAGCCCAGGCACGCACACAACTAGCTGTGTCCTGATCCTGAGAAGGGACCCGCTGCCCGTGCATGAGTGTGTAACATTTAAAAAGTGACCACGTTCCTCAATTACTAATCCCAACCATTTCCCTTTTTATAAAGAAATATGAAAATGAAAATGACCAATAAGTCCTGGTTTCCAAAATCTTAATTACTCACCAGAGGCTCCAAGGTGCTGATATCTTTCAGTTTATTTCCACTTAAGTTTAGATGTGTGAGGTTTGGAAGCTTTTCCGCTAACATGTCCAGACCTCCAAAGATTCTATTGTCACTGAGCTCAAGCTGCAAGAGAAAAGGCACACACAACACACAACACACACATCATTAAGGTGTTACAAAGAGCAGCTACAGTTCTCAAACACTTGTTAAGACCAGCAGGCGGTTCCTACTTCTATTAGGGCATGTGCTCACTTTGATTAAATCCAAAATAATAATAATAATAATAATAATAATAATAATAATAATAAAAAACCCAAACTCACTGCCACTGAGTCGGATCTGACTCACAGTGACCCCTCCTTGGGTTTCCAAGGTGATATCAAAGTAGATTGCCCATCTTCCTTCCAAGGAGTGGCTGGTGGGTTTGAACTGCCAGCCTTCCGGTTAGCAGTCCTCACTTACAAATCCCAGCAACACCGAGGGAGTGGGGAGGAGCCAGGGACCCAGAGGGGAGGAGCTTTGTTTCCTAAGCAGCTGCTATTAAGAAGCCTGCTTGAGAACTGGCCTCTAACATCAGTGAACACATTTTCTAACCTAAGAAGGGGGACAAAGCCAATTAGAATTCTTCAAGGAGTTGCCATGTGCCGTGCCAGCACCTGCCAGGAAGGGTAAGTGGCCCATGTGTTTTAAGCAGCCTATCCTAAGGTTGGGCATTCCTACTTCCATAGTGATACTGCCTTGGAAACCCAAGGAGGGGTCGCTATGAGTCGGGGCCGACTTGATGGCAAATAATAACAACAACAACAACATCCTATGTGCCAGGACTCCTTTACAAAGCAAATCCACTTTCCATGCAGCAGTTCACATACACTTTGCCTCACGACATTGACTGCAATTTCCCACTATGCAACAGCTCCCCTCCCACTTCCTCCCGATAGTTACCTCTTCCCCGTGTCCATCCCTCCACGCACTCCTGCCCCCTGAGCTGTCTCCCTGTGCATACACAGCCCTTCTTTCTCCCATGATTGTTCTCTCCAAGGACTGTATCCACCTCAGGTAAATGTTCCTTCAACTCATATGCGTGTCTTTTGTTTGGCTGGAAGCCACAGGTGTGGGTTCAATTCGAGACCTGAAGGGCAGCGAGGGACCATAGTCTCAGTGGTTCAACCAGGCTCTATCGGACCAGCAAACCTGGTCTTGTGCCAGGACTCTTGCAATGGTCACATGAAACCAACCCTGTTCTCACATGGTGCTGATACACCATGGGCTTCTACGTCTGGGAGCCAGGGGAACACGGCTCTGAAGTCTAGAGAAGCGGGCCACACCCCAGAAATGAGCCTTGACAGCAGCTCCATGACCACAGGAGAAGGAGGGCGTGACAGCCTCAGGGACAAAACCAGCTCCTGGGGGGCCACTTCTCGTGCCAGCCTGGCACTGGCCTTCAGAACCTACTTGAATTTCTTAGCTGCAGGTCAAGTAGCAGAGGCACCTAAATGTGCCAAGGAAGGAATGAGCCTTCACCAAGAAATGTTAGAATTGGACAGTAAAAGAAACTGAAGCCTGGACAGCCCTGTGAACAGCCATCGAATTCAAGCCCTTCATCTTATAGAGGAGAAAACTTAGACACACAGCTGGTTCCAATTCTGTATTTAAGTGCCAACAACAACAGTAACTGTATCTAACTTTTAAACAGTACTCAAATACCAGGTACCCTTAGAAGGACTAGAAACACTTAATTCATTTGATCTCACAACAAGCCTATGGAGTAAGTAAGTGGAACTATCACCCTCATTTACAGATGAGGAAAACGAACTACAAACAGAGTACGTAGCATGCTCAAGTTCCCACGGCTGCTACAGTGGTGGACCGATGATCGGAAGCCAGACAGGCTGCCTTCAGAAGAGCCCATGCCTTCCCGCTATGCTACAGCCCTGTAACAGCATTAACACATCACGTAACGAAGTGAACTACACGATACAGAATAAAGGGACTTTCAAAACTTAAACCATCCACAAGGGCACAAGCCTTTTAAAAGAACCAGAGAGACAGCTCCAGCTTAAAGCACAAGAGCCTTGTTCCTGGAAAACAGACACCTGTCTCCGGGCAGATGTGGACACTATACGTGTAACAGCCACATCCTGGTGACACGAGTATCTTGGGGAGGAGGCACAGCAAGGCAACCCACAAAGATTTAGTAGCATATTTACTTTGAAATGAAATAAATGAAGAAATTCTGGAACCCAGTGACATTTAACCACTTTTTTTTTTCAGAGCCTGTTTCTTTTGAAAAGCCGTCTGTGCTCCAGTCAGGGAGAAAAGCCCATGTTCTCATAATGAGAACATTCATTCTGCCTTTAAATGTGATTTACAGATCTCTCCACTCCCACCTCATTAGGTCTGTCAGCTGAGTGACTAAAGCAGGGCTTCAAACCAGCTCTTCCCAGTTCAGTCACAGCCAACAAAGCAAAACTGGAACGGCACCGCATGTGTAAAATATGGGTGAATCAGAACAATAACTGGAATGGGGAAAATTACAGCTCAATGCCCCACTAGAAACTTAACATCCCTCTTAGAAAAGGGCAGTGTGCATGTTGCATAGTAACCAAACCTCTTGACCAGCAGAGTCAGAAACCTTGCCCTGCTTGAAAAATGGTGGCCACCCATGCCACTTTGAACATGTTGCTTTCCTCAGTCCTGGCAATAACCTAGAAAGGGTGCAGTATGCCTCTTCTGAGCCCAATTCCAGGGCTTTGACTCGTAACTTCTCCTGTTTCTGTTATCTTTCCAGTACATCCACATTTTACATATTCAGGTCTGTTTTGATTTCATGGCAGCAGCCATGACTGAACTGGTTCCAACCGACTCAAAGTCCTGGATTAAAGTTTAGGATCATCCCAAGGATGTGCTGAAATCCACATACAGTCACTGGTGCTAACTTTGTGAGTAAGTCTGACAGTACAGAGACCACCGTAATTTAGGAAAAAAATCAGGATGCTACAGAAACAGAATAAACACACAGACATACTTTAACTAGGGTCTTCTAACACCCAGTTTGTGTAGATAAAGCCATTTTATATGTCTAAGTGAGCTAATCAAGGTTTTCAATGTTACTAACAACCCATGCAAACATAAAAGATTACACTTGAACTTCTAAAGTAGATACTTCAAAGCAAGCAAATTTATCAGTTTAAATATAACAGGATTCTTTCTGATCAAAAGCATGGTCACCTGCAACTCATGAGGATGGCCGAGCATTTACTGCCAAAGCCAGGCAAGTAAGAAACAGCACTGTTTCCTTCCAATTCATGTGCTTAACCAAAACCCAAGTCCCTTCCGGGACTCAAGCAAGCTACAGGAATAGCCTACCTGCCCTTTGCCAAAACTTGATTCTAGAAATAAATTTCTTTTTGTGTCTGCCTTTGTTTACTCAAGTTTCCTAATACAGCAAACACCGAAACAGTGGAGAATTCTGAAAAACCAGACACCTTTTCCCATGTAACAGAAAAGGTACTGCATCAGGAGAAGCAAAGCCCGTTCTGGGTCTGTGGCTGTGTCCACAACAAACAGAGGCTGGACCAGAAGGTCCGTAAGCTTCTCCCAGCTCCGATGTAATGGTGCTCTGTGACAGCTGAATGTTCAAGGACAAGGAAAGAGATTTTTCTTAAGCGTTTTATCCTTTTGGAGGGGAGTTTAGAAGAGGGTGGGCCACCAAAGCAGTAATGACAGGCCATCAGCGAGGACAGGGAAATACAGCAGCTTTGTCACAGTGAATTCTTCCAGCGAGGTAAACACATCTCAGACACCCTACTCATTAAGAACTACACAACCGGCGTGAATTACTTTAGACTACAAACTGAAGCATCTTTCCTTAAACTCTAACCCCTCAATCAACACATGAAACATGAAAAGTGAGAGGCAAGTGTGGTTCCTGAACCAGAACGCACCAAGAACAAAACCCAGTTGACATTCTAACAACAAATTTATAACAATTAATAAACTGTCCACAAAGTAATCCTTCCTAGTAACCACTATTTACCGAGGATCCAACATTCATTATTTGCAAACATCACAGCGATTCTGAAAGGTGAAGAGGTGTTACCAGTTTTTTTTCCCTAAATTTTATTTGATTGTTGTTGAGAATACACACAGGAAAACATATACCAATTCAACAGTCTCTGTATGTACATTTAGTGACCCTGATAACATTCGAGTTGGTGCCACCAGTTTTTAAAGGTGAAGAAACTGAGCCACAGAGAGAGAAAGCAACCTGCAGAGACCATCCTTCACGGAAATGGCAGAGCTGGAATTCCAGCCCAGATGCGCCCAGCTCTCGGGCCATGGGCTTCCTGCTCCACTGAATGCTTCCCGACAGGTAAAACCACACACTTCCCTTCCCAGGACAGTTCTGTTTGACTGCTAAAGGAAAAGCACTTACCTTTTTCAATTTTGGTAGTTTGGGGAGATTTGAGACTGAAATCAAGCCTACGTTTATTAAACTGAGGAACTCTAAGTTCACAAATTCAGCTGTTAAGCCCTCAATTTTTCCATCATTTGACTTGCAGTTGTCCAGGACAAGTTCTCGAACCTGTGAATTATAAAAAAGAAAGAGAAAGAACTAGCTTTCAAAAAACACAGGAAGCAAAACAAAAACTCCCACCACAAATACCTAGAGTCTACTTAGACCCCAATCAATTATAAATAGATGAAAAATTATTAAACCCTAGAAGCAATATCCTTATATGTGTATCAATGACAGACCAGTACAGCAAGTGTAAACAAAGTTCCACACTACTCTTGAGACAGAAACAGGAGCTCGGTACCAGGTGAAAGGGAAGCAAACATCAGTATTTTCACGCAAATAGCACGCACCTTCTACACTCTCCCGCTCCCAGTCCCCTGCCCCACCCCAGGTATTTTCATAAGCTGCTGCTATGCCAGTTTTCTTTCCCCCCAGTGTTGCTGTAAAAGAAAATTTGCATAGTGTGTTTACTAAAACAGGAAACCCACCTGCCCCTCTGCCAGTGGGGAGCAGCAAGCAAACACCGCTTAAAAAGGCGGTGTCCCCTTTTATTTCCCAACTCTGCTCCCCAAGAGGAGACTTGATCTAAATGGAGATGCAGAGTGAGGGTACCCCTGAATGGGCCCGAGGCTCAGGAGATAACCACAGGCAAAGAGGAAAGCTTGTTCCTACCAAGACCACCGGCAGATTTAAGCTACACTTCTGCACGCACACACCAGCCACCTGATTTTCCACTCCACAAGGTTAGCTGACACTGGGAAGGAATCAAGATGCAGGCGGCCTTCGTTCAAAACCAAGATCACCTTGGGTTACACGTGAGACAGATCTTCCTATGGAACAGGATTCTTAGACACTACATTAGTTTCCCTTTTTCAGGCCATGAAATCTTCTTTGGGGGCCTTGAAATTTAGATGTCAAATTCAAATCCATCCAGGGACATTACATCACCTTCTAAGAGTCAAAGAATTCTGTCAATTTTGAACACTGACCGTTCCTTGTCTACTGCGCAGACCATGGGAGTATCTACTTATTGCTCTTCTTTCTCTGTGGTTGCCTCTCTGAGACTCACAACTTTTTAACTCGCTTCCCAAGCTGACAGTGAAGCAAACAACAGTTTAACCTCCACATGTCCCACAAAGGTGTTCCAACCGTGAGTCCACACGCATTCACCCAGCAGCTATCTGGAAGGGACGTGCTGGTCGCGCTGCAGAAGAAAAGCCAATGCTTTCATCCTCCCCCCATAACATCCAAAGTCACTCTAGTAACTGCTCCCCTTTCCTGGAGTCCTCAGTTTCCCTCTTACGGAGGAGATGTCTGGAGAGTCGGTGGCAGCCACAGTACAAGCCCACTCTCCCCACTAGGCCTCACCACCTCTCACTGGCCTGGTTTCAGGAGGCCTGTGGGTCCATTCCTCTTACATCTTTCCTTCCTCTCACTGCTCTCTGGACACCTCTACCACTCTTTCCTGTGCCAGCAAGGAATGAGCATGCCTGAAAACATCAACTGAGGTCACAGTCACTGATCGTTTGGTCTGGGGATTCACTGTGACTGTTTGATACACAAAATGACACCAAGATGTCAACAGCTATGTGCCCGAGTTGAGAGAGCCTATCCCTCTCGTGGCATTCCTGACTCCCAGCTCACTGAGTAACAGTACCTCTTGGCCATTTCTCTCAGTGGGAAAAGCCCACTATAACCAGGGCAGCCGGCCATCAAAACCACCAGAGAGCAAGTGGGAGGGGAGCTGTTGCACTGGGGTAAACTGCAGTCAATGTCATGAGACAAAGTGTAGTGAGCTGCTGTATGGAAAGCGAATTTCCTCTGTAAACTTTCACCCAAATCACAATTAACAAACAAACAAACAAACCGACCAGAGAGCATTCGAATGTGGGTAACATGTCTGTGGAAGCAGGCAGCAGACCCCGAGTCAGGAAGAGACTGGGGGCAGGGACGTCGGGGACGGGAGGCTGATGGGGGAGGAGGCGGGGCTCTGGTTTGGAGAGGGCAACCCCTCAGGCTGCCAGGACTGAGAAAGGAACAGCCTACAGGGGGCGTAAGGAACACACGAGGGGTCCCACGCTCCAGGCTCCACGGGCTGTGCAGCTGGGCGGTGGGTCAGAGTTCAGGGGCGGTCTGGGCATCCTGGGGGAAGGAGTTGTGGAGGGGTGGAACCCTAGAGATCCTGTAAAAGAGCAAGAAATAAAAATGCAGATTGAAACGGAAATATCCCCCATTCCTCCTGTGGGGAAGGCGGGCACTTTACAGGTGGGAGTGCAAGGTTCAAGCACCGCCGCCCTGACGCCAAGTACACGGAGAGGGAGGGCAGACAAGGCAAGGCCACGAGGTCAAGAAAGGGGCTGGCCTGGGCACAGTGCACGGACGGGCTCCCGGGGACCGGCACGGGGCAGAGTGGGCGTTACGCACAAAGCAGGGGCCACGGGGGGCTTCACGGCGGGGTTCCGCTCCCGCAGGTCAGCGACAGACGCCGCATCTGAGGAAGCTGAGCACCTCTTCCCCGCCCCCCGCTCCCGTTCCTTCCCAAGACGAGAAGGGGCCTGCCTTGCCCCCAGAACACATCCGGGAGGGAAGTTACGGAGACAGAGGTTGGGGCCGCAGGCAAGGCCAGGTCCACGTACGCCCGCAATCTGCCGCGCGACCCCCAGAACAAGCGGGGGTTCTAATCCAGCAGCATCGGCTGAGGTTCTCCTGGCGCCCCGAGCCCTCCCGGGGCTGCTGCCGTCTGAGAGGGAAGGCTGGCAGGCCCCTTCCTGCCTGTCTGCAATTCAGGAAGCTGGATGACCTGGTAAGGAGTCAGCTCCCACTTAAGACAGAGCTCAACCTTGGGCCCAAGGTTGCGCCTCTCGATTCATTTTCCAACTGAACTTGCTTTTCTCTAACGTGAGTTTAAGGTAAACACTTATGAAGAGAAAACAGAGCTTCACACTCCTTCCTAGTCACGTCCTCTACAGTCCCCAAGTAAAGCAGGACTCTTTTCCACTTTCTCATTGAAAAGCTGAACTCTATGGTTGCCAATTAAGTTTTTCGGGACTAGTTCCAGGACTTAGCGCCCATTTATAACATTGCTGGTGTTGAGAAAACACATTTCAAGTTCCAAATGAACCAACTCCTAGAGCCAAAAGGCCCTCTTTATGTTACGGTGAGTCAGCCAATCCCGGGACAAGGAGACCACACTGGGGACGGGAGTCGGGGGCCACTTCCAAGGCGACTTTGAAAAGACCAGTTTCCCAAACTGGCCGTGACCTGCCTCCACTTTGAGTTGTTGCTGCCACAAGAGGAAACAGGTAGGGAGGACCCAGACACCATTTCTCAGTTCTTTTCGTTAGAATTAAACCGTCCGATGGACTTTAGACCAGAACCTCCGGATGACAGGATGGTAAAAAGGACATGTTGCTACTTCCTTCAGTTTGCTTATCCACAGACATTTTGGGGGCTTATCTGTAGCTACTAATTTTTCTTCAACAAAGGTATCACTGCTTATACAAGAAAATTAAAATCCCTTCTACGTAACCAATTGTAATACCTGATTGCGCTCAAAACTACATCATAGCATAGAGTAACAATCGATGTCAGAAGTTGAAAGGGAAAAAAAAAAAAGAAGACTTAAGGTGAGAACAATCTAAATTTTCTTAGCTGAGACTAAGGAAAAACTGATTATTTTTAATACAAAATGTCTCAGTCCGGCATACAGCAAACACCAGTGTTCCACAGGGGCACAGACCATGAACCCCAGGAAGGGACTACTTGGCTTTCCAAAGCTCAACAGAAAAACTAACCAAGTCTATCGAAGGTTAGCTCTCCCCAGGAATGACCAAAGAGAGTGGCATGTCTGGTATAATGAGAGGCCAAGATCCTCCCATGAAAAAGAACAAGCGTTGTTGAAATTGGGACCACAGCTAGATTGAGTTCACTGCTGAAAATCACCTTCTCACACCGTCCTGACAATGTGATGTCTGGGATGTCCTGATGGGGTCTAGCACTGTGTGTGTTCTCACTGAAGTAACTGGCAATACAAATACCGTATAAAGTAGTTCTTGTCCTTGACGGTCACATTTTTAAATGTAATGATCAAAACACCACCTTCAGACATTTTCTCTATTATGATAACGTTCACTGTGATAGAAAGTGGCTTGGGGTTTAGGAAAAAATCTTTTACAAGAAGAGCCCCCTTAGGGAAACTAAGCCACACTTGTGTTCATAAAGAACAAACCTGTTGTCACCAAGTCACTTTGAGCTCATGGCGACCCCTATGTATGTCAGAGCAGGAGTGTACCCCATAGCTCTCAGTGGTCCATTTGGGGAAGCAGATGGCAGGCTTTTCTTCCTACATTCCTCTGGGCGGACTCTGCAGCCTAGTTCTTAACTGTCTGCACCACCCAGAGACTATAAAGAATAAATGAAAAACCAAACTCACTGCTGCCGGTTGGACCCAACTCATAGTGACCCCTCCTTGGGTTTCCGAGGCGGTATCACTACAGAAGTGGATTGCCTAACCTGCCTTCTGAGGAGTGGGTGGTGGGTTTGAACCGCCAGCCTTCTGGTTAGCAGTCAAGTGCCTTAGGCACTACACCACCAGAGCTCCTTTATAAAGAACAGGGGTATAGGAATAGTGAACTGAAGCATTAACTCAGCCTTGTGTTCAAAAGAGATACTTTGGCCAAGAATACAAGTGTTACTTATGTGTTAGTCAAACTTAAAAAAAAAAAAAAAGCCTATCTGGTCTTTAAAAACAAGTTTACAACCAAACCCCCACTCAGTCTTAGATCTCACTTGCCATTAAGACCATCAAGGTTAACCATGGTAACAATTCTCTATTTGAAAGACTCTGCCCTCATTACAGGACTATATTCAGCAGAATAAGGGCTCTTCCTATTTCTCCAAACAACCAGAGTCTATGGGATCCGAGAGCCTATGCTTCAACGGTTTCAACTGGAGTGAATCTAAGACCAGACGTTCTCAGAGCCAATCTGGGAGAGTGGACCCTTTCTTAAGTCCATGGGGTCAAAATTATTTTCCTAATGCTGCATCATTACTTTTCCCTTTCTGTCAGCCTCTCAGAGTGTCCAGTGGAGTTTTCCAGAGGCTACATGATGTCATCCCTCCAAGGGCTTCATGGAATATGCTTGTATATTCTTGTGTTTTAAAAATTTGTTTAATTACAAATACAGTAAACATCACTAAATACAACTCACATAAATGTAAGTTCTTGAGAGTTCAATAAACTTTAAAAGTGGAAACAGGGCTCGAGAGACCAAACGTTTAGAAAACTCTTAGATAAACAGGACCATGTAACAAGGTTACTAGAAGACCCCCACAATGCACACAAGGAGCCATGTGACTAGCTGAGTTCGATTTTAAGGGAGTCACCTTGGGACTGTTCATTTAAGGATGTTGGCTGTGCAAAAGACTTTTTAACTCATCTTTTAAAGATTTCAATCAAAATCGACAGCATTTTTTTCTATAAAGTCTTAATTTTAGGTCAAATCTTTCCCCTCCCAACAGAGCACCTAACTCCCACTTGTTTGAGTCCCTGTCAAGAGCCACCATCTCATCTGGGCTAGGCCGGTGACACTTTCACAGGCCACTCTTACTTGCCCTTCTGCAACAGGCCTGAGAGCAATGTAGGCCACCAGGGCCACTGTCCTGTTGACACGCGTTTCCCCGCCCTGGCACACTGCTGGTCCTCAAATACACACTTACCTAGTGTATTTGCGAGGCCAGCGCTGTCCAACACAGTAGCCACTAGCCACATGGAGCTTTCGGACACTTGAAATGTGTCCAGTGTGACTCACAAACGTAATTTTTAATTCTATTTAATTTTAATTAATTTAAATAGCCATGTAAGTCTATCTTTGGGAACAGCGTAACCCCGACGTTGATTATTTGAACAATTAACACCTGCACATGGTTTTTTTAAAGTAACATTTTAGTTGTACATGTAGGAGTCAATACCACATACTGGGAACACGAACCAGCTGTATTTTCCAGAGGGATCAACACTATTTCTAACGAGTATGTCAACAGCAATTCAGCCTGAGCACAAAACCGAAGAATTTAAACTCCGGATTTAAAAGCACTTTAATGCAAAGATCTGAAATTAATCCCTCTTCAAATTATACAATCTGAAGATCGTTAACCATTCACTAACCCAGCACATGGGGAACAAAATGTCTGACGAGGGACGGAAGGGTGAAACTTCACTCCGAAGAAAGCCCAGGAAGCCGACCAAGCCGCGCACCCCCCAGTCCTCCAGGGCGGCAGCCCACCCCAACCTCCAGTGTGATGACCTCTCAATCAGGAGTAAGGACACAAACCCTCGTGCACACCAGGGAGAGCGTGGATGGAGTCCTACAAGTTCGCAACTTGGTAACCACAGCTACCGGACTGCACAAAAACGACCGACCTGGGCGGGGTACGATGACCTCCGAGGGCTGCCCCGGGCCAGGAAAAGTCACTCACCCGACCAGGGGGCTGGCGGGGGCCGGGAGACAAGGCCCCCCGCACCGGCCCGTCGGGCGCTCAGGGCGGCGG